TCCCCTCGTCAATCCTATGATTCGCCTCATCTTTCATAGATCCACCTGCTGACAAGTCCACTCCTAAATGTCTGAATACATTCACCTCCTCCATACTCTCTCCCTTCAATCTAATATCCAATCTTTCGTTACCTAATTTTTTTTTGTTATCCTCATCACCTTACTCTTTCCTGTATTCACTTTTAATTTTCTTCTCTTACATACCCTACCAAACTCATCCACTAACCTCTGCAACTTCTCTTCAGAATCTCCCAAAAGCACAGTGTCATCAGCAAAGAGCAACTGTGATAATTCCCACTTTGTGTTAGATTCTTTATCATTTAGTCCCTCACCTCTTGTCAACACCCGAGCATTCACTTCTCTTACATCCCCATCTATAAATATATTGAACAACCACGGTGACATCACACATCCTTGTCTAAGGCCTACTTTTACTGGAAAATAATCTCCCTCTCTCACTATCCTCATAAAACTTTGAACTGCTTTCAATAACCTACCTCCTATTCCATACATTTGCAACATGTCAGGGACACTGATCCCTGGAATACCTTCCAGGTAGGTAGACCACATTGCTCCCCTATCCACTCTGTCATATGTCTTTTCCAAATCCATAAATACCACAAAAACTTCTTTAAACTTATTCCCCCTATAATTTTGACTCTCTTGTCCCCCATCCCTTTATATAAAGGAACTATACACGATCTCTGCCACTCCCTAGGTACAGTGGAACCTCAAATTTCGAACGTATCACGTATCGAACTCTTCGAAAATCGACTGCTTTTCTCGAACCAACTTTGTCCCCATTATCGAACTCGCCCCTTTTTTCGAACCGCCGGGTACTGGACCTGTCCGCCAGCGTGCTCTGTCTGTGTCCCTGCGCAGGCGCCGTGAGCCAGTCTGGTTTTGGTGATGTTTGAGTGAACACTAACCTGCGGTCTCATTCAAATATTTTACGATTAATTCATTGTGTTTAGTGCTCGTGGGACTGTGAAATAAGCTACCATCTGCCCAAAGAAACTTGCTAGTGGTACCCCTGTGGTAAAGAAAGTGAGAAACCATAGACGTGAAGAAGGAAATGCAGTGGAACCTCAAATATCGAATTTAATCCGTTCCAGGAGCTAGTTCTAAATTCGAAAAGTCTGCAAAGCGAAGCAATATTTCCCATAAGAAATAATGGAAATACAATTAATCCGTTCCAGAAACCCAAAAATATTCACAAAAAATACATTTTATAGAGATAAATTATAGTTTTACAACAAATATAGTGTTCAATTATGTATTAATAAATTTAAATAAACATATAAAATAACATTTTTACTTACCTCTATTGAAGATTGGTGATGGCATCTGGAAGATAGGGAGGAAGAGAGAGGGAGTTGGGGTTAGTGTTTGGAAGGAGAATCCCCCTCCATGAGGATTTCAGGTATCAAAGCCCTCTCTGGGGTTACTTCCCTTCTCTGTATTTTAATGCCACTAGGACCAGCTTGAGTCACTGAACCCCTGTCTCACAAAATAACTGTGTACAGTCCTCTGTTTGTCTCAAAATAACTGTCCACAGTCCTCTGTACATCCTGGCGAGCTCAACAAGTTTCACACCACTCTCATACTTCTGTATTATTTCCTTCTTCACATCTATGGTGTTTCTAACTTTCTTTACCACAGGGGTACCACTAGCAAGTTTCTTTGAGCCCATGGTAGCTTATTTCACAGTCCCACAAGCACTAAACACAATGAAATAATCGTAAAATGTTTGAATGAGAGCGAAGGTTAGTGTTCACTCAAGCATCAACAAAACCAGACTGGCTCACGGCGCCTGCGTGGGGATGTGGACAGAGCGGGCTGCTGGATAGGTCCGATACCCGGCGGTTCGAAAATAGGGGCGAGTCCGATAATAGGGACAAAATTGGTTCGAAAAAAGCATTCGATTTTCGAAAAGTTCGATAAGTGATACGTTCGAAATTTGAGGTTTTACTGTAATACAGAAGTATGAGCGCGGTGTGAAACTTGAGGACTGTGGACAGTTATTTTGTGAGACAGGGGTCCAGTGACTCTCAAGCTGGTCCAGTGTCATTAACCCTTTGACTGTTGCAGGCTCCTTTCTGAAACTGTCATTCTATGTCGATAAATTTTCAGAAAAAAAAATTTCTTATGAAATGATAGAGAATCTTTTCCCAATGGTAATGACACCAAAAGTACGAAATTTGGTCGAAAACTCTTGGAATTACGCTCCTGCGAAGTTAGCGGTCTCGGCAACATATACACAATGGCAATTTCGCCAACTTTGAGCCCTGTTTTTGGCAAATTCCGTTGTTCCAGTTGACCAAACTCATAGCTGTTTCTTTAGAACTCCATTTTTTCTATCAGTTGAGTACAAGAAACCGCCCATTTACCGATTTGAACTACCCAGTAATTTGGCAATTTGGCCAATTTCACGCAAATTAAAGAAGATGCCAATTTCAAAATAGGATCCAGAATAAACAATGTAGACATTCTTTGCACTAAAATAACATATCCTCTGTTCATTAGTCACGTCTCTAGGCCACTTATATTACTATTGATATCTATTTTGATGTTTTATTCATACAAAAAAATACAAAATTTACTGTTATGCAGACTACTGCATTATTGTAAAAATGGTATAAATAATAGTGCACTAGTGAAAAAATATTAGACTCCCCGGTTGACGTGCATTGGAAGTGTGGTGTAATTTGCTTACTCCTGAACATTGGTAAAAATTGAACATTTTCGCTACTTTGAGCTCAATTTCAAGGTCGTTTTCGTGAAAGTAAAGAAAATCATCTCTGTCTATAATATGTTTTCTATTTTATCACCTGAGACCATGAAAACGAAAATACAACGATAAATACTATACGAAAATACACCTCAAAGTCGGCATTTTAATCCAAAAAAACGGTCAATTTTTTTTTTCTCATTATGCACTGCATGCTGCAGGATTTTTTTTATGTGGTGCACACTGACCACACAGACCCATTCCCTTACATGTGGGCCTACCAGCTTTCTCCTGCTTGATTTGAAGTCACTAGAATTTACGTGTATAAATACGTCAGAAACAGTGGCGTGTAAGACATATATATACGACGTAAACAGCCAAAGGGTTAAAAGACAGAGAAGGGAAGTAACCCCAGAGAGGGCTTTGATGCCTAAAGTCCTTATGGAGGGGGATTCCCCTTCCAAACACTAACCCCAACTCCCTCTCTCCTCCTCCCTGTCTTCCAGATGCAATCACCAATCTTCAATAAAGGTAAGTAAAAATGTTATTTTATATGCTTATTTAAATTTATTAATACATAATTGTACACTATATTTGTTGTCTGTATGTAAAACTATAATTAATCTCTATAAATTTTTTTTTTTTTTTTTTGTGAATATTTTAGGGTTTCTGGAATGGATTAATTGTATTTCCATTATTTCTTATGGGAAATATTGCTTCGCTTTTCAAACTTTTCGAATTTAGAACTAGCTCCTGGAACGGATTAAGTTCGAAATTTGAGGCTCCACTGTACCTTCCCCTCTCTCGTACATTTATTGAACATAAGTACCAACCACTCCAAAACTGTATCCCCACCTGCTTTTAACATTTCTGTCATGATCCCATCAATTCCAGTTGCTTTACCCTCTTTCATTCTACTCAATGCCTCATGCAGTACCTCTGTGCCCTTTTATGACCTGTCTGTCTGATTTTTTCTTTTCTTTAAATCCCATCCTCCTGTGTCTTTCCCTCTCTCCTGATCCTAACAACAATTTATGCTGAACAATTCTTTCATCTTTTATTGTCCCTGCCCTTATTTATCATTCCTTGAACTCAGTACCTAACATCATCCTTAATATACATAATGTATTGATATTTAACTTTTTTTTTATTGAATTACAGAATACCTTCAATATTATAGAAACTGTGTTCATATTCTTGTATGCTTATAATCATAATTTAGTTTTAAGGCTGCATGAACTGCTTTGTATAATAAGAGGTTTTCTATTGTTTATATATAGTATGTAGTCACCTTAATTGTATGATAATCTGTACTCCACTTTATAGAAATAAAGTTTTTGTTTGTTTGTCTTCCCCTCCCTCCTGTGTCTTCCTTTCTCCTCTCCAGCATTTTCCCCTTTTCTCTCCCTTGTCTTCCTCTCTCCTCTCCAGCATCTTTCCCTTCTCTCTCTTATGTTTTTCCCTCTCCTGTGTCTTTCCCTCCCCTCTCCTGTGTCTTTCCCTCTCCTGTGTCTTTCCCTCTCCTGTGTCTTTCCTCTCCTCTCCTGTGTCTTTCCCTCTCCTGTGTCTTTCCCTCTCCTGTGTCTTTCCCTCTCCTGTGTCTTTCCCTCTCCTGTGTCTTTCCCTCTCCTGTGTCTTTCCCTCTCCTGTGTCTTTCCCTCTCCTGTGTCTTTCCCTCTCCTGTGTCTTTCCCTCTCCTGTGTCTTTCCCTCTCCTCTCCCGTGTCTTTCCCTCCCTCTCCCGTGTCTTTCCCTCCCCTCTCCCGTGTCTTTCCCTCCCCTCTCCCGTGTTTTTTCCCTCCCCTCTCCCGTGTCTTTCCCTCCCCTCTCCCGTGTCTTTCCCTCCCCTCTCCCGTGTCTTTCCCCCCCCTCTCCCGTGTCTTTCCCTCCCCTCCCGTGTCTTTCCCTCCCCTCTCCCGTGTCTTTCCCTCCCCTCTCCCGTGTCTTTCCCTCCCCTCTCCCGTGTCTTTCCCTCCCCTCTCCCGTGTCTTTCCCTCCCCTCTCCCGTGTCTTTCCCCCCCCTCTCCGTGTCTTTCCCTCCCTCTCCCGTGTCTTTCCCTCCCCTCTCCGTGTCTTTCCCTCCCCTCTCCCGTGTCTTTCCCTCCCCTCTCCCGTGTCTCGGTTTTTAGAGGATTACTTCTAGAGTTGCTTTGCTCCAGTTTCTTATGAATTATAAAATATGTCTGAATTTGAAGGTACTGTACTAGCTTGTACATGTATTAAGTCAAATTTATAATGTCATACATATAACATTCTTCATTTTGTTTCAGGCAAACAAGAAAATGGCACTGCCGCCATATCTTATTCCAGGCAGCCCTTGGGCTTACATGGCCCAGCAGCAGGCTCAACTTGCTGCTGCTCAGGCTCAGGCTCATGCTCAGATGCATGCACATTTTCAGGCTCAAGCCCAAGCACATTCTCAGGCACAGGCAATCCCTCGGCCACAAGCTGGACCTCCCCCAGTTGAAAATGTTTCATTGGAGAAAATGCAGGAGAAAGCTCGCAGGTATTAAATTTTCTATTTCATGATTAAAAATCATTCATATTTAATGAGTTCTTTGGAAAAATATCCCAAAAAATTTCAGCTATCATCCATTTCCCTTCATTAAGGTGGAAGAAAATGGGTACTAGCTGTTGGGAGAAAGATGAGCTAGTAAGAGTACAGGTAATGAGGAAGTTAAAGTATGGGGTAGATTTAAGAATGCAGTGTTAGTGTGCACATCAGAAGAGTTGTGATATATTAAGGTGGGTGCAGGAGGGAAGAGGGGTTGTTAGTGGAATGATGAGGTAAAGAGTGATTAGAGAGAAAAAGCTAGCATGAGAGGTTTTTACAAAACAGACATGATATAAGGAGGGTAGAGTATACAGAGGTTAAGAGAGTGGTGAAGGAGTGAAAAAGAAAAGCAAATGAAGGAGTGGGTGAGGTTGTCAACAAATTTTGCTGAAAATAAGAAAAACATTTTGGAGTGAGATTAACCTTTTTAGGGTTGACAGGCCCTCTCCCAGACTTGTTCTCAGGGTCGAAAAATTAAAAAAAAAAATTATTATTTTTTTCTAATGAAAAGATAGTTTTTTTTTTTCTAAACATTATAGGCTAAAAAATTTTTTTTCCATCAATACTTACCAAGATATGGAGGTGTGAAGTTGACAAAGTGGACAGCATATGGCATCATCGCCGACTGCCGGTCACCCGGTAATCGTTTATTTTGTTTTTTGTACTTTTTTCTATTATTTTTTAATATTTTTTTCAAGTAACTGTAGGTAGTAGGTTGGTAGACAGCAACCACCCAGGGAAGTACTACCGTCCTGCCAGATGACTGTGAAACAGAAACCTGTAACTGTTTTACATGATGGTAGAATTGCTGGTGTCTTTTTCTGTCTCATAAACACGCTAGATAACAGGGATATCTTGCTACTCCTACTTACATTTGATCACACTTCACAGACACGCACATGCATATATATATACATACATCTAGGTTTTTCTCCTTTTTCTAAATAGCTCTTGTTCTTCTTTATTTCTTCTATTGTCCATGGGAAAGTGGAAAAGAATCTTTCCTCCGTAAGCCATGCGTGTCGTATGAGGTGACTAAAATGCCGGGAGCAATGGGCTAGTAACCCCTTCTCCTGTAAACATTTACTAAAAAAGAGAAGAAGAAAAACTTTATAAAATTGGGATGCTTGAATGTGCGTGGATGTAGTGGAGATGACAAGAAACAGATGATTGCTGATGTTATGAATGAAAAGAAGTTGGAAGTCCTGGTCCTAAGCGAAACTAAGCTGAAGGGGATAGGGGAGTTTCGGTGGGGAGAAATAAATGGGATTAAATCTGGAGTATCTGAGAAAGTTAGAGCTAAGGAAGGGGTAGTGATAATGTTGAAGGATCAGTTATGGAAGGAGAAAAGAGAATATGAATGTGTAAATTCAAGGATTATGTGGATTAAAGTAAAGGTTGGATGCGAAAAGTGGGTCATAATAAGCGTGTATGCACCTGGAGAAGAGGAATGTAGAGGAGAGAGAGAGATTTTGGGAGATGTTTAGTGAATGTATAGGAACCTTTGAACCAAGTGAGAGAGTAATTGTGGTAGGGGACCTGAATGCTAAAGTAAGAGAAACTTTTAGAGACGGTGTGGTAGGTAAGTTTGGGGTGCCAGGTGTAAATGATAATGGGAGCCCTTTGATTGAACTTTGTATAGAAAGGGGTTTAGTTATAGGTAATACATATTTTAAGAAAAAGAGGATAAATAAGTATACAAGATATGATGTAGGGCGAAATGACAGTAGTTTGTTGGATTATGTATTAGTAGATAAATGACTGTTGAGTAGACTTCAGGATGTACATGTTCATAGAGGGGCCACAGATATATCAGATCACTTTTTAGTTGTAGCTACACTGAGAGTAAAAGGTAGATGGGATACAAGGAGAATAGAAGCATCAGGGAAGAGAGAGGTGAAGGTTTATAAACTAAAAGAGGAGGCAGTTAGGGTAAGATATAAACAACTATTGGAGGATAGATGGGCTAATGAGAACATAGGCAATGGAGTCGAAGAGGTATGGGATAGGTTTAAAAATGTAGTGTTAGTGTTCAGCAGAAGTTTGTGGTTACAAGAAAGTGGGTGCAAGAGGGAAGAGGAGTGATTGGTGGAATGATTATGTAAAGAGTAGTAAGGGAGAAAAAGTTAGCATATGAGAAGTTTTTACAAAGTAGAAGTGATGCAAGGAGGGAAGAGTAGATGGAGGAAATGAGAGAGGTTAAGAGAGTGGTGAAGCAATGTAAAAAGAGAGCAAATGAGAGAGTGGGTGAGATGTTATCAACAAATTTTGTTGAAAATAAGAAAAAGTTTTGGAGTGAGATTAACAAGTTAAGGAAGCCTAGAGAACAAATGGATTTGTCAGTTAAAAATAGGAGAGGAGAGTTATTAAATGGAGAGTTAGAGGTATTGGGAAGATGGAGGGAATATTTTGAGGAATTGTTAAATGTTGATGAAGATAGGGAAGCTGTGATTTCGTGTATAGGGCAAGGAGGAATAACATCTTGTAGGAGTGAGGAAGAGCCAGTTGTGAGTGTGGGTGAAGTTCGTGAGGCAGTAGGTAAAATGAAAGGGGGTAAGGCAGCTGGGATTGATGGGATAAAGATAGAAATGTTAAAAGCAGGTGGGGATATAGTTTTGGAGTGGTTGGTGCTATTATTTAACCCTTTGAGGGTCGACAGGCCCTCTCCGAGACTTGTTCTCAGGGTCGGCCAAATTTAAAAAAAAAAAAAAATTATTTTTCCTTGTGAAAAGATAGAGAATCTTTTCCCGATCATAATGACACCAAAAGTATGAAATTTGATGGAAAACTTAGGGAATTATGCTCTCGTGAATTTAGCGGTCTCGACGATGTTTACGCATTGGCGATTTTGCCCATTTTGAGCCCTATTTTTGGCCAATTGCAGTGTACTAATCGACAAAAATCATAACTATTTCTCTAGAACTCCATTTTTTCTATTGAATGAGTACAAGAAACCACCCATTTACTGATTTCAACTATCCAATACATTGGTCAGAATTTAGCAATTTTGCCTATTTCACACAAATTTCAAAAGATGCCAATTTCCAAATAGGGTCTAGAATAAACAAGAAAGACATTCCTGGCACTAAAATAACATTTCCTCTGTTCGTTAGTCACATCTCCAGGCCCCTCTTATATTTCTTTGGCTTTCCACTTTCAATTTTTATTCTTACAAAAAATAGAAGATTTACTGTTATGCAGGCTGCTGCATTAGTATAAATAATATCAGCGCACTTGTGAAAGAATATTAGACTCGCCAGTTGACGTGTATTGGACGCTTGGCATGATTTGTTTACTGTTGAACTTTGGTAAAAATCGAACATTTCTGCTACTTTGAGCTCAATTTCAAGGTACTTTTCATTGTAAAACCAGTCAAAATCATCTCAATTTCTGTAATATGTCTTCCATTCTATAAAATGAGATCAAGAAAACTAGAATACAACAATAAATACCATACAAAAATACAGTGCAATTCGCTGTTTTATTCCAAAAACACAGTCAAAGTTTTTTTTCTCATTATGCACTGTGTGCTGCAGGATTTTTTTTATACTGCACACTGACCACATAGACCAATTCTTTCATATGTATGCCTACCAGCTTTCTCCCACTAGATTTGAGGGCGCTAAAATTTAGGCGTACTAGTACGCCAAAAACCCTGGGTCGTAAGCCGTACTAGTATGGCCGAAACCCTCAAAGGGTTAATAAATGTATGGAAGAGAGTAAGGTACCTAGGGATTGGCAGAGAGCATGCATAGTTCCTTTGTATAAGGGCAAAGGGAACAAAAGAGAGTGCAAAAATTATAGGGGGATAAGTCTGTTGAGTATAACTGGTAAAGTGTATGGTAGTTATTATTGAAAGAATTAAGAGTAAGATGGAGAATAGGATAGCAGATGAACAAGGAGGCTTTAGGAAAGGTAGGGGGTGTGTGGACCAAGTGTTTACAGTGAAACATATAAGTGAACAGAAATTTAAGATAAGGCTAAAGAGGTTTTGTGGCATTTCTGGATTTGGAAAAGGCCCGAAACGACAGGGTGGATAGGGGGCAATGTGGCAGGTGTTGCAGGTGTATGGTATAGGAGAAAGGTTACTGAAATTAGTGAAGAGTTTTTACGAGGATAGTGAGGCTCAAGTTAGAGTATGTAGGAAAGAGGGAGATTATTTCCGGTAAAAGTAGGCCTTAGCAAGGATGTGTGATGTCACCGTGGTTGTTTAATTATATTTATAGTGGGGTTGTAAGAGAAGTAAATGCGAGGGTCTTGGCAAGAGGCGTGGAGTTAAAAGATAAAGAATCACACATAAAGGGGAGTTGCCCAAAGTTGCTCTTTGCTGATGACACTGTGCTCTTGGGAGATAATGAAGAGAAGTTGCAGAGCTTGGTGGATGAATTTGGTAGGGTATGTAAAAGAAGAAAATTAAAAGTGAATACAGGAAAGAGTAAGGTTATGAGGATAACAAAAAGATTAGGTGATGAAAGATTGGATATCAGACTGGAGGGAGAGAGTATGGAGGAGGTGAATGTATTCAGATATTTGGGAGTGCATGTGTCAGCAGATGGGCCTATGAAAGATGAGGTGAATCATAGAATTGATGAGGGGAAAAGGGTGAGCGGTGCACTTAGGAGTCTGTGGAGACAAAGAACTTTGTCCTTGGAGGCAAAGGGGAATGTATGAGAGTATAGTTTTACCAACGCTCTTACATGGGTGTGAAGCATGGGTGATGAATGTTGCAGCGAGGAGAAGGCTGGGGGCAGTGGAGATGTCATGTCTGAGGGCAATGTGTGGTGTGAATATAATGCAGAGAATTCGAAGTTTGGAAGTTAGGAAGAGGTGCGGGATTGCCAAAACAGTTGTTCAGAGGGCTGAGGAAGGGTTGTTGAGGTGGTTTGGACATGTAGAGAGAATGGAGCGAAACAGAATGACTTCAAGAGTGTATCAGTCTGTAGTGGAAGGAA